TTCACAAATTGACGCCTCTGTGTCAATGATACAAATCATTCATGGGGTGTGTGTACTGTACAGTAGTTTCATGGACACATTTAATTTTGACACCTGGGTGACCTGACAACTCTTGCTACAGATCGCTAAGTGTGAGCAGCGTGTCATCGGTGTCATCGGCGTCATCCAGCAGCAGCTCGGTGCGTAGTGCGGACTCAGATGACATGTATGCTGACCTGGCCAGTCCGGTGTCCTCTGCCAGCTCCCGCTCGCCCACACCAAATCACCCCCGCAAGCACCGAGGGGTTGCACAGGACCGGCCTCCACATGGAAGGGACAAGAACAGGGGTTAGTTTGTACAGCAATGTTCCCATGCAGCAGACACACAAGAATCATAAGGCAGGATAATAGGCATCACTATACAAATTATAAAATTCTTAAGAAGACACCATTCAAACATCAAATAATAAACAAATATTAATGGGGTGGATTTCGATGTACCTAATGGCTGATTATTTACTGTTGTACTAGAAGACATTTAATATTAAACATTTGTGAAGAAAGTTTGAGTTTCATTGATGGTACCTTAATCAAAAGACAAAAACATAAGAGCTAGTTAGTGAATGTAAATGTAAACAACTGTTGCAGCAGAAATAAAAACTGAGATTTTACACTTTATCTTCAAAATTAAATATTTGGTTTTCATTGGCTTTAATAAAAACTGAAGTTAAGACAGATATTTCCATATTAGTTAATTTATTTTTGTTACAAATAAAAGAGTATTTAGAGAATTGGGGAAAATGTACTTTACAATGCCTAGGTTCTGTCTGGATGTAAATGAAATTCTGGAATATTTTATTGATTGTTCTGTCAAAGGGAAATATAGAGCTCATCATCAGCAATGGATGGTTATCAGCTCCAGTGTTTTTCTGTCCTTACCACAGAGAGGCCATCAAAGAAAGAGGAACCCTTCCGGGAAGATCGAAGGAAGCTTGAGCCGTCTGGTCCCCCACCTAGAGCAGGCAATCCAGTGCCCAGAACTGGACCTGTTAGCAGGGGTGGCCACCCTGTGCATCCTCCTCCTGGCAACATGGGGCCCCCTGGAAGCTACGGAGGTTCAGGGTCCCACAAAGACATTAAACTCACCCTCCTCAACAAGGTTACTATTGCTCTTTTTACTACTTCTAAAGGGTCTGTTCACCCAAATCACTAGTAGTATCAAGCTTTGCAGATGCCTTTGGTTTTATGTGCCAAGGGTGTCAAATATTTGAGATAAACTTCAGTTCAAAACAAGAGCTAACCCTTTAACACTATCTGGAATATCAAATGCAAGAACATTTAAGAGTGGGGAAATATAGATGGACAATGTACAGACAGAGGTGGTAAAAGTATGATAGCCAAGATGTGATGGCCAGTCGGGTGAATGTAATAAAATGCAAGTTGTTCAAAATGCTGGTGGGGATGCAAGTTTCAAGCAATCTTCTTAACTGGCAGTTGGCCACGTTATCAATCAGTAATTAATCAAAAGTTTATGAAATACAGTGTTCGTTTCCTATAATAAAACCACTTAACTACTGATGTCAGCTATGTTTGCTGAAATATCTGAGTAAATTAGTAAAAGAGAACTAGTAGTGCCCCTAGTTGAGTTTCAGATTGCTACAAAACATGCAGGCTTCATTTGTAGAGCATACCTTAGATCAGACTAGACATGCTGGACAAATTTTAACAACTAGGCCAGTTTTACTGGTTTTATATAAACTAATTGCATACCTCTGCATAATGTGAGGGACTGGGAACTGCTGGGAACACCAGCTCAGCTGAGATAGATGCCCCAGGGGTCAGGCAATCTTTTAACATGTACTGCCACCAGAGCTTCCTTGTAAGAGGTTGTAAACCTCAGTGGGGACTTTTAATTACCTTGTTTAAACAAAGGTTAAATAAAATTTTAAAAAGCACCCATACTCAAAGCAAGGTGGTGTTGCTTATACACTTCCTCATGTTTGTGTTGATTATTGTGTTCGAAGCACATGTAGTCCTGCTTGTCGCAGACGTTGGCGCTGCTACTGTGGTGTTCTCTGCTGTCTGATGCACAGCTCTCAGCCGTGTTAACCATAAGCTACTCAGTGCTTCTGTTGAAAATGTCAGTTTAGTTCTAGTGATAGTCTTAGATAACTCGCTAAAGCACCAGGTAACACCTCTGTCAAAGGTTTCTGCGGCAGAGTTCATCAACATGACAGCCAGAGTGAGCACAGAGCAGAGCACCTGCCAGTTATTTCTTTCCTTGGATGATAATTTGTGCAGCCCTAACAGGTAGACGGCAAACACATCCAGCTCCATCCTGTTACATACTAAGAGACACTACCAATAATCAAATTAACACCATTTAATAATTATTGATATCCCTAGTGCTAATGCATGCTTGTGCTCAGGAAGAGGGCAGCTCAATTTCTTAACCCAGAATCATGGTTCAGTGTTGATGCTGGCAAGTGTGCACTCGTATGGAAAACATGTTTTGATGTGCCTCATATCCTGCTGGTGTCTGTTCTCTTTCAAACCTTGCTCAGTATCTCACTATGGGAAGCACCTTCTGACATGACCAGTCATGGAAGCTCCACTCCTAGGGGTGTGATGATACACTTGGCTCACGAGGCAAGACAATAAATGATATTGGGTTCACAAGAATGAGACGAGATGATATTTTAAAGAAATCTTCAGTGATGAAATATATGACTGGAAAACTATTTTATTCGGCAAAGTCACAAAATGCAAAACACTGCAGGTGCATTTTGAAATATTTTAAATTGTTGTAGATTTAATTTTAGATGGAAAAATCACCCAGCCCATCAATCTATACTCATAATGACAAGGTGAAAATGCTCTTTTTTCAGATTGTATTGCCCAATTATTACATTTCAGAAGCTGAAATTTCTTTGTTGTGACACTCCAGTCTGTGGTCAGGTGCATCCTGTTTGCTTTAATTATCCATCCTTGTCTAGAACAGTATTTAGCGTAAATTCATGAAAAAGATTGATTTTCTCATCTCTCGAGGCAAACAAGCAAATGTCTTTATATGTATCCAAAATGTCAAACTTTCCTATTTGTGTCTTTAATCTAATATGAAGTAGGGTTTCCCCACCACCAACACATTTCCTTCTACATATAAAATGTAGTTCCATGTTTGCAGAAAACAATGTGCAAAAGTACTTTCTCTGAAAAGCACTGGGTAAATCTGCCATCACCTTACTTGAACCTGTAATCATCTGGGCAATGTTTTCCCCCACTCCAATATGGAGTCAGTCAGGTACTGACCTAAGTTCTTTGATTAAATTCCTCAAATTTCCTTGGTTATTGACCCTATATTTTGGGTTGTTTTCTGGCAGCAGGGAGATAAGGGCAGCAGGAAGCGGTATCTGCCCTCAGACAAGGACAGACCAGGCTCCCCCCTCAGCAAGAGAATGGCCATGTCTCCAGACAGAGGTGAGAAACGCATGCACATGCACATGCACAGCCCATGTCTAAATTAAGGTTTTTTTTTATATTAACCAAGCTGAAGAAAAGCGTCACTGAGTTTAATTTTTTAAACCTGAATTAATGAATGTCTTTGAATCAAATACTGGTAACTTCATTTTGCCTCTTTTAGCTCCTGGGTTTGATTTCAGTGTTCACACATTTACTGTATGGTTGACTCTGAGCACTACAGCTAACCACGGCTGCTTTCAGAACTGAACAAAACCATTGTTGTGGTTAAACTACTTTTTATTCCAGGTCTGATTTTGAAGTACAGTGTTTTGTGAATATTAATTAGTTACAAAGTTACAAAGCTGCATCCTAATTTACCTCACTCAAAGTAGAAGTCCATTTCATGCAAACTGTAACATCTCTCTAAAGAGAAGCCACAGTAATATGGCTTTTAACCAGTTCTTGGTCTCATTCCTCTCAAGCCACTCATTCCTAACAACCTCATTGACTTGTTGAATTGTTTTGCAGGCCGTGATAGAAGAATACCTGGTCGGCCCCCGCTCTCCCCTCGAATGGAGCGTCCCAGAGGCCAAGGGCCCCGCCCTGTGCTACCCCAAGGAGACAGGTCGGTGCAGCGTCTTGCATGTTTTTGCTGTTGGACTGTGATATTTATCCTTTATCACTATAGCATACAACAACAAAAGTCAGCAATAATACAAACAAGGGCATTGAAGTGGAAGTGTGGAAATTCTAAAGTCAACTTTCCTTGTGATACACGGTGCTTATCAGTGACAGTGATCATGTTCACTCAGGTCAAACACACATCGGGAGTTTCAAAGCTTGGTGTTCTCTTGACCACAAGTGTTTAGCCAAAATGAGAAACATACCGCAGAAGTGGAAGCTCACTGATATTACACCATCTCTGCACGTGTCACAATACTCAGTGGCACTCGCACAAAATCCCCAGTATGAAATAGATGCTTTGTGATAGGGCTCAGCTGACAGATGTTTTATTAGCTTGCTAAATAAGAGCAGAGTGAGAGTTTAGGAACACGCCGCAGGTATGTATGGTATAGACTGTTTCTGGTAGTCACTCTGGGGACCTGAATAGCTGAGCGCCACAGGCCCAGGGAGTAATCCAGGGAGGGGGAGACTGGTGCCAGAGATCCCGGGTCCGGTCTGTGGGTTCCCTGATAAGGCAGATCTGGTAGCTGGGCGGTGCGACGTGGGTTGGCGGTGCTGTCCCAGGATCGCTGAGAGGAACACAGAGAGGGCTGGTCTCGTGCTTGGGAGCTCTGCGAGGAGGAGCAATTCACACAACAAAAAAAAACCAAAAACAGCCAAAGCCGACCCAGAACGGGAAACAGCAGTTCAGAAAACGTAAAGTCCCCCAGAAAAACAGTCCAAACCAAAGAAACCCTTTAAAACCTGAGAAGGGCACAAAAACCAATGCAACACTACCGTAAATACAGTTCACAGCGTGACGTGAGGAGCACAGATCAAGGAGTAGTTCATAACCCTGAGTTCTTGACATGAGCATGGAATGTCGTTACTAGCAGGACAACATATGATAATCTGGTGACGAGGATGCACCAACGCTGACCCTATATACTGCTCGGATAATTGAGAGCAGGTGTGCCTCGCCGCCTGGAACGCACCCTCACCTGTGCGGGGGCGGAGCTGCTGGAACTACCTGTGCCTGCTACCGAGGTACTGGGGGCGTCCCGGGTCACGGATTTAACATTATGAATTGCTAGGCTGTGTCTTGCAATTTAATATTAGAAAAAGCTACAGACCTTTTCCTTGTTCAGGTTCATTTAGTATGAGTTTTGCAGTGTGTGGCTCTTGAATGCTTCCGTGTTTATTAATGCATACTTTTTGTTGTTAGACACAAGTCATAGTTCTTTTTTTAGTTATGTGTGCTGTAAAAGAGACTTTGGAGAGAGAGGGAAGAAAACCGCAGAAAGTAAAACTCACATTTACTGTAGCACACTAACAGTCATCCACGGAGGGACTGAACATTTGTGTGTGTCTGTGTTTGGGAGATCAATAATCAGTTGGTCATCAAGCACCTAAGAACTGGTTATTCAGCTGCGACTGGTCAGCATGTGCCAGAGTTTGTCCATCCTGTGCCCTGCTTGTGTCATATAGACCTACAGCTGATCACTCACAGGTAAAACAGTCTGTTTAAATCACAGCATCACTGAAATTCAATGTAAAGTCTGTTTCTGCTGCTGATCGTCAACGTCTGGTGTTTGTCTCCATGGCCCCTCCTGGAGATGACGGTCTGGTTTGTCAGTCTGGATGATCGGAGTTTGTTCTGTCACTCGTCTTTTGTAAACGGAGTCTGTAGTTCACACTAAACTGTGTCACTGTGAACCGTCCACGTCATCATATATGTGGCTGAACAAAACACACTAACACTCGTTCCATTTTGCAGGACATACACTTTACTGATGACTAGATCTTCAAGCGCTATAATGCAGCATTATGAATTTCAACCAGATTATGCCAGTAGGCATGTTTCCTCTCTCTCGTTCCGGCAGCACTACAGCCATGATCAGTCATTTTTGTTGCACAGCTACTGGGTAGGTTGTAAAATCCGACTGCCAAGTTTGGTTGCTGTACATCTTGTGGTTTCTGACGCCTCAGGATGCTCCATTTAATCCTTCGTTCTCAGTCATACCACACCTTCTGGTTATATAAACTGACAACCACCCAACCTAACTCTTATTCCTCTTTCTCAGAAAACGTCCTTTGTCACCACCCCCCAAGTCATCTGGGAAAGGCCCAGCAACACCATCAGGCAAGCCAGCTGGCCCAGGCCCTGCTTCAGCCACTGGCTCGGGCTCCAGCTCAGGGTCGGGCTCCAACAAACCCAGCAACACACTGTCCCGTCGTGAGGAGCTGCTGAAGCAGCTGAAGGCTGTGGAAGACGCCATCGCCCGGAAGCGAGCAAAGATCCCTGCCAAATAATATCAGCCCACTCCTCACTTCTTCACCTGTCTGTACAGCCCTGTGAGCCGGGCAACAGTGAGGTTCATGGGATGGAATTTTTTTTTCCCCCTGCTGTCAGTGGACATGTAAAAATGTTGTGTGGTTCATACCACCAGGATGCTTGTTCACCTTCAGAGAGGTTAGGCTCTGCTCCATTCTGGGGCGTCGTTCACTCCCATATGCCCGACTTTTTCTCCTCTTAAGAACCTTTGAATATCTCGGCTGCAATTTAGGTCAGCAGTGACAAAGAGGAGGGAACAGTTGGGCATTTGGTGAGAGAGGGACGCCTCAGGAATGGAGGGTGCTATGTGTAGACTTCACAGTACAGAAACAGAAGGGGAGTAAGGACTCAATCACTTACTGTTCACTGTGTTCTTCCAGTGAAAAGGAACCTCTTTATGTGATGAATAACAGATTTATACACATCGATTCTGCTACTTCTGTCTTTCTTTTCCCCCTTTTCTTATCTTGTCCTCATGTTTTTCCTTTTGTTTCCTCTGTGTGGAGTGGTGTGACTGCTGGGTCAGCTCTGCTGGCAACTTACAGCCTACAGGGCTTCACAGTACTTCTTTGTATAAATCTACAAATTATTGAGCATCTGTATTCAGCCCCTGTAGCGATCACAGTCCCATTCTTTGTTCACAGCGGACCCATTGTTAACTAATGACTCGTCTGCGTTTTGTGTTGTAAGACAGCGTTCACTTGTTCACCGTGTACAATAATAGTAAGTCATCAGGTTCTTTCGAGTGAATAATTATAGACAGCAGTGATGTGAAGTATTGCTTTTTATATCGGCAACATTTTTTCTTCTTGACTCGATTCTGCAAGTGATAAACCAGTTTTATTTGTGTCACATTTTTAGTTGGGGAATTATGAGAGATGGAACGGCATTTAGAGACAAGATGTCTTGCTTTTGCGACAAAAGCCTTCTAAATAAACTATTTTGATAAAGAGATTGTGTTTCTCTGCTGTTGTGCAAGACAAAAGAAGCAGGTGTTGAAATAAACATGCATTCATGCACGTTTAATAGAAGCATTGAATGTGTAATTTAGAAACACAAAACCCACTGTTACTCTGGGCTTAAAACTGTTTTCCATGGCACTGTTCCACCAGCCCGTTGCACTGGACCAGCCAGAGGTTTCACTACCAACCCTTTACTCAGGACATTGCTTCAACATGTGGTGAAATATCTGTTCCATTTCACTGCTGTGTGGTTTTTCTAACAAAAGGCACCATGTCATTTCCTGTCTCACTCAAACCTTTGCCACAGTAAGTTCAAACTTGATGATGTAACTTTTTGTCTTGCCATGTGCCATGGCTCTATGTCAAAGTCCGTCTGTCCTGTCAGTGCAGAGGCTTCACAAAGTATTCACACCTCTTCACTTTTTGCATTAGGTGATATGGCCAAGCAACATTTTAAGGACTCAGAGCGTGAAGAAACAGATTCTCTTGTGTGATAAGATGAAAGATTGCATCTTTGCACAGAATTCCAAGCACTGTGTCTGAGAATGTGATAAACTGCCCAAATCCTGTGTGTAAAGCCTGTAGAGACTTGCCCAAGACTGACTGGAAGCTCTAACCACTGCCAGAGGGGCTTCTACAGAGCACTGAATTAAGGCTCTGAATACTTTTGTAAATGAGAGGGATTAGTTTTGAGTGTTTAATATTGCAAAATGTTCTACACTTTCTACAAATTTCTAAATACCTTGCGCTAAAGCACCACCTTGCTCCAAACTGACATCTCAACAACTAGTGGATGGATTTATATGACTTTTATTCAGTGTTTATTATCTTTAGGGTCTGGATCGGCATGAAATGTAATGTCTTTAAAGCACTGGGTCAAATGTTCAATACCTGATCTTTTTTATGAGCAAATACTAGCAAATGGGGCCATTCCCATCATCTTCTATGCCCAGCATGCTGTAGTCTTCTTACTGCTGCAGATTGCAACACAAGGAAAGACCATTTCCCTGCTTCACGGAACAGAATAAAGCTCTGCATCTCTAATGTCAGATTATCTGTAGTATACAGTATCTAATATCAAAGAGTTAGGACAAAAGTAAAAGTACGTGTTACTGCAGAGAGGGGGTGAGTGAACGGTTGAGGTTCAGCCTTACACTGGAGTGGAAGACCACATAAATATGGACAGCAGGTATATTCTGAATGCATTAAGTATTTTGCATGTAGGAATTTCATTCAGATTCCCCTCTAAACGGTGTGAACTTTAACTCAACCAGAAATTTGCTTAGTTTTCCATAACCTAGACAGGACTGAACAACCAGCCCTGTTAAAGCTGGCACACCGTTCCCTGTGGGAAACACAGGAACACTGACGCCACAATGTCCCATTCACCACTCAGTGATACAGAAATGTGTCTCAGTCAGATATTTTGCAGAATGCTGGGATGGCGGTACCTTACTGCTATGATCACTTCAACCAGTGACTGGTTTCAGTTTTCCTTCTGTTGTCAGCTCCACACACACACACTGAAGGATTGGAGTCGCCTGTTGTGAGTCCAGTCCAGTTGTTTTATTGTTTTGGACCCCAAGGTAGGGGTCCACTCTGTTGACTTCCTCTCTCTGGATGCCAACCAGGCCAGGGGGCCTCCTGTTCCTCTGGTGGTTCACCACATGCCCACTAGTTTTTCTGATATTGAGCTGCAGGTGACTGTAGTTGTATGATGTGTGAAAGCTCGACGTCCGTCCTCTAAGTGAAAACGGCATGTTTCTCACTGGAAATGAATGTCAGCACAGTGATAACTTCCATTTTGCCAGTCAAAGTCTACTTATTTATTAAATTCCTTCCAAGTCTTCACTACATATCTTCTATTAATCTGGACAGACATGCACACAAACTGACTGGTTGGAGGAGGGAAACAAGGCAGCAGTTCTTGTTGTGTTTGCTTCTTGTTCTTATAATTAAAAAAATATATATATGGGACATATACAGTTCTCTAGCTACAGTATTCACCAGAATAAAAACAGAAAAAAAGTAACAATTTAGTGTAGCAGAAATGTTTTTTTCTGCCCTCCTGTCCTGTTATTAGTCATGAGACCCAGTGGTTTTAATTTGAGACCCCCAGGGTGGGAACCACAGCACTAACATTAATGAGTCTGTGTCCGTGTCCGAGTTCAGGTAGTAAATACTTTATAACATGACGTAACACAGTTTTAACCTCTAACAGTGTGTTATAATACTTAAAGGAATCTTGGCCATGTCCGCAGAATGAATGGCGGTAGGATCCCTAAGGTTCTACTCTACAGCGAACTGGCATCAGGCAAGAGAGCTCTGGGTTGTCCTCAACTCCAATTCAGAGATGTCTGCAAAAGAGACATGAAAACCCTTGACATGGACATTGACAGATGGGAAGGACTGGTCCAGAATCGCTCCCATTGGAGACAAGTGTTAAACTGCAGCCTGCGCAAAGGAGAAGAGACGTTCCAGCTGGCGTCAGATGAAATGAGAGCCAGACACAAGAACAGCCAGCGAGCTCCACTGGGGAGTGCTACTTTCAGGTGCTGCTTGTGCACCGGGGCTGCCATTCCCACATCGGCCTAGTCACAACAGACACTGCTCCACAACCAGACCGAGACTCTACAAGGCGCAAGTCTATGGCCACTCATGACCGACGGATGCCAGAATGAGTGCCTTATGGTACTTAAAGGAATCTTTTGCATTTGGAGAAAAGTGGTATGAGTTTATCATTTTAGGTAAAAATAAATGCAAAAAAAAATCTGTGAGTTTTGTGTAGGAATGCAAAGTAAGCTGCATGTTTTCATGGTTGACCAAATGCAAACTGTTGTGCCTTTCCTGACATTTGAGGGAATGGAGTGCCCAGAGTGGATGACGCTATCCTCACCCTGCTCCAGTGTAAGTGTGCATACGGGTTCACTTTTGAGCCTTTTTTACCACTGGCTTTGAACACTGTCTCTGTGCCCCTGCCTTCTTTGTTTTTGTATTTTTGTCATTGACTGAGCTCAGTTTATTCACTTGCCAGCTGAGAAGAACTAGATTTTTGTTCACGTGTGCTCTGGTGCTTGCTGCATACTGTTTACTTTTCCCCTGCTGCTGGGGATTTCCAGCTGCCCAGCTTCTCAGTCCTGTCTTTGTGGATTGTGCCTGACCTATGTTATTTCACTGGTTAGACTACCCACACTGTCCCCTGGTCTCTGGGAGATTCCAGTTCATCGTCTTCTGCTTGTGCTGCTGTCCTAGTCCACCTGTGGGAGAGAACACCTACCCCTGTCTTCCTGATAGCTGCCTCTATGTCCAGTAGTGTTGCTGTCTGTATGGTGGCCTCCTTTGGCAGGGTCTTTGTTCCTGCTCACCTCAGGTTTTGTCTGCCAGCTGTCTGCTCCACTAGGTACCTGCAACATCCTGACAGAGAGCCTCCTGTACAGTTCCACTCATCAGGCACCACTCAAACCAGTGTTAGTTGCCTCCTGGTGGCCCAGAGGCAGTTCAGAAACTTTACCTGGACGCCTCAGCTGTTTTCACTGCTCCCAGCCCCTGGGGTGGCTCGGCCCCTTCTTTATCCTCCAATACCTCTTAAACTTTCACTTCTCCATCGATGTCGTGTACTTGGGTCCAGCCAAAACCTGATCATGACAGAATAGGAAGGGAGAGAAAACCCAAGTTCTGCTTCACGGATTCCTTTTCCAGAGGTTTCTTGTTGGCAAGAAGCACCAACCATAAACTGTACTACAGTATGTGACAGGTCACAGGGCAAACGAGTTGGGAACTGTTGGTTTAATCTTGAACAATATATTGTATTATATGTTAACTTTTAATCTGACAAATAATTAGTAACTACTGTATTATCTGTCAGAAAAAATAAATGTAGTAGACTAAAAAAGAACAATATCTGGCCTCTGAAATGTAGTAGAATACAAGTATAACGTAACATACAAATACTCAAAGAAGTACCTCAAAACTGTAGAGGACAATAGTTGATTTAATGTACCTAATTACATTCCACAGCTGTTTTCTGGTGGCTTGGTCTCAGTTTGTCTTTTTCAGCATCAGGCTTTGGAATTAAACCTGACAAGAAAGTTGTTAACTCTATGTGTGCGTCCATGATGCTGTGCTCACTGTCCACCAGACATGAGCACAGGAGCGTCCATGCTGTGTGCCCGCTTGTCTTTCAATCTGTCACTTCCCCTGCCGGGCCATTTCTTTGTCGTATCACATGATCACTCTCCTTTATTCACCCTTTTGGCTGTTGGTGCCTTATTCCCAATGTTTTGGATCTGGATCAGCATGTAAGTGTTGTCTGTGCTGTTTCATCGTTTAGTCTCGTGACAATGCTTTGTCATTAGTGTTTCTTTTATGAGATCTGATTTAAATCATGAGTGTTTACATTATTAAACAGTATTTTGTTCAAGTGTCACATCTGATATTTTGACAATTTTTATGATTTTCTCTACTTTTCAATCAGAAATGATATGTTTTTCCTTAACTGAACTGAAGGCCCAAGAATTGGACCATCAAGGTAACTTTCTTATTTGGGATATTGGGTTTTATACTCTATATACTGTTTGTAACCGACTACACTCAATATACAGTAGTTCTAATTACTTAAGTTAAATGTCTTCAGTGAAAAAACTAGTTGGCAACATCAGTTGACTAAATCGACAAACCTTCCTTAGTTCACCGATGTGTTGGCATGAGGCCTTAACCAGGGAGATTCCACATTTAGTGCTTTGTTACCTGGTGACGTAGCAACAGCAGCCTCCTCTTACAGATTTCTTTAGTAACACGTTCATTTGCTTCCTTTGTTTTAATTTTTGTTTAATGCACTTCCAGACTTCCATGATAAGCCCATCATAATTCATAAACAAGCCTGTACTCTCACAGCTCTCAGTATTTATTACACTTACTGCTTCAGATAAATGCATTAGGAGGCACAGCTGTCTGCACTATATCAACAAGTATGCTAATAACCTTTAGGTCAAGGGAGAGTTGCAGGTGGTGTGACATC